TGCATGTCTGTTATGCCATCATAAATTTCCTTTTTGTGTAAATAAATAAATAAAAAATTGTTTTGAAATCATAATTTAGCGCTTTCCCGATCTTGGCAACTTTGGCAGTCTACTGTTCGATTTTGATTTTAGCGCCTAATTTATTAATGCACTTTTTTAGTTACAGCTGACTCACGATATCATAATTTTGGCAAGATTTTTACCACGTTTTGCTCAAAATTTTAATTTATGAGTTTGGCAAATTGTTTTGAAGTTTTCGAAAAAGTGATAAACAGGTGTTGAAAAGTGGCACGAAAAATGTTGCGCGATTGCAAAATGTATTCGATAATGCATCTTATGCAAGTGGTCGACCGAAATTCAAAAGTCATAAATTTGAAATTTTTCATTAATAACATAAATAGTGGCAAAAACTTGGGCAAATAACTGATTAAACTCGATTATCAAGCTGCACGATTAGTGTGGTATTAAAAAAAATCATTTTTTTTTCAATATTTCCTTAGCCTATAACTCTACAAATAGCCTACCAAAATTTCCGATACCTCTAATAGTTTTTGAGTTACACGTTTTTTTTAATCACATTTTTCAATTTTTTTTTTGCTTGAGTTCTGTATATAGTTCTCCCTACAATGATCTACCAGTTTTTTGATCGGATGAAGAATCGTTTTATTTTTATTTGTAAGTTTCATCCACAGAAAAGGCTGGAGTCACTGCGATAGTGGAGGATCTGTTTTTAGCGTCGTCGGACTCTAAAAATATTTGATTGTTTTTTCAACATGTGTGTGTGTATACTTACAGTTTTTGTAAAAATACCTTTAAGTTTTAAAACAATCGATAAAGTTTCTTTTTTATTTATTTAAAAAATGTGGTGCGCCCTTAATTTTAAACTTTGAGACTTCGGAATATGAACCTTTGAAAGAACACGCTATTGTTCAACTTAAATGCAAGACTATTTTCTTCCACCACCGTCCCTTCTCTCCACAACTTCTTTTGTAGCGCTTGAAAATACAAAAATGAACTCATTACATAATATTATATGTATATCAATAGGGAAATCAGTTGGATTTTTTCTTCAAGCTTGCACTAAAGTTTTTCCGGTATTATGTATGTAAACCAGAGCAGTCGGACCTATCAATTTTTATGTATGCTGATAATATTGGAATTGAATATTGAACGGGTAAAAGTACTTACAAATAAATAAATCAATAAGATTATTCCATTCGAGCGTGTACTAAAGGTTTCCTCGGCATTATGCTCGTAAGCCAGAAGGACTTACAGCTATCAAAATTTTGTTCTGGACTCATAATCTTGAGATTAAATAGTGACACCAAAGCAGTTGTTTCAAATTTGTTGTTCTTGTAGAGATAGAGTGAATGAGGGAGATAAATTGGTATAGAAATAAAGATAGCGGTAAAGGGACGCTGTTAGAGAGAAATGGCAGAGGAGGAGCATATAGGCATAGGGAAGCGAAAAGAGAGAGTGCAAGAGTGAGAAATAGAGCACGTACTGCTCATGATAACGAAATACTTTATTTTTCTAGAGAGAGAGTACAATTAATTAAATTCTGCACATCCGGAGTACTAGATTCTTAATAAATTCGTAGATATTTATAGATATTTAAGTCTCTTTGAATTGAACTTTATTACTTTACAACTAAGTGTCAACACAGTAGCTTATAGCGACATATAGTCTGCTGCATTAATAACACTTTCTTGAAATGAAATCTTATTAATTTTTCCATGACAGAATCCGCACGCTTACCGCAATTTAATTAAATCTTTCGCGTTTGTATGCCACATTGATTGTGGTTAGCTTACAGATCCAGTGTAAGTCACTAGTAAAAGAAAGTCATTAGAAAAAGTTATAGTTTTTAGATCACGTGTCACTTTTTATTGAAGAGTGAAATTTGACTGCAATTTTCCATCGCTTGCCACGCGTCGCAGCCAATGAAATCAAAACCGAAAATGTGGCGTCAGCAGCTAATATATGGCAGAAGACTTAAGTTGGATCTAATAGAGCTGAATGAAGATTACATTATTTATATGTGTATGCCAGTATGTACACATATACATATACATATGTATTGACATAATGTTGTTGCGGTTAGGTTTGTGACGGAAAATAAGACAGCTTCGGAGATAAAGCTATCGTTGGGAAAAGGGCAGTATGATATTGGGTGTTGGTATAGATTTAACTTAAAAAAAGTAATTTAAAAAAATAAAAATTATTATTTAAGTAAAGAACCATATGTTTAATACAAATATCTGAAAAATGCGGGCATATTACTTAGTGCCCAACAAATATAATTAATTAGTAGGCCAGCAAATTGATGAGTCCAATTTTTAGTTCGCTCAAAGTTATTTTATTTGAACAAAACACTTCAAATGCTATGTTTTTCATAGCCTGAACAGAATATTTTAAGTTTGGCACAAAGTTTGGTACACCCAGAAAGAAACGTGCTATAAACAAATGATCAGCGTGAGGAGCTGAGTCGATTTAGACATGTTCTTCTGTACGTCTGTAACTCTGTGTATACGCGATCTAGTCAGATAGTTTTTGCGATATCAAACTGAAATTTTGCATATGTCCTTTTATTCGGAAGAACTGTTAATTTGTCGGAATCACTGAAACCAGATCACTTTAGGATATATAGGATCACAAATAATCGATCCAACTCAAGCACTTGTATGGAAAACTTTTTTATTTGTCAAGATATCTTCAAGAAATTTGGCAGAGCTTATGACCTTAAGCATCGCTATAATCTCCGAATATATTATTCAGATCAGACAACTAAAGCATATAGCTGCCATTCAAACTGACCGATCAAAATCAGAATAAAACTTTTTAATACCTTTTTATGCTATCCAAAATACATCTGTGAATGATATTATAACCTTAGCAGCCGAATTTAACGTTTTTTCTTGTTTTTGTTTACTTTTCAAATGTATTTTCATTTATTGTGCGTATGTCATGCGCTTAATAGTATATTGAGGTTATGTATGACTGTCTGCATTTCATTTATTAATAGCGAATGCTCCAAACTTGCGGCAAAGCGGTAGTATTCATCTTTTATTACATTTAGCATTTGTTTGAAACTCATTATCGCATAGACTACATAGATATAGGCAAACAGCGCGCTATTCTGCTTGGGAGGGCTGTCATTTGTCAGCTTGCTGAGTGAAAATTATTAATAGTTTGAGAAGCACAAATTAAGAAAATTGGTTGTAAAATATTTGGAACATATGACTATACCATATTTGTAGATTTGTATAAAACATACCAGCAAGCATATATACTTACTGAAATATGCTCACAAATGTGTATAAATGTGTCTGTCCATATGACATTTGAATAATTTATATTTATGTGCTTATAATCTCATTTGCATACATATACATAGTTTCATATATACACGTATGAAAATATGTAATGATTTCGTAATTGTAGCCGCGCTTTATTTTCGATTGTAAGCTGAGAGTTCAATTTTACAACAACATCAAATAAAATCTGCGCTCATATTTCTTAAAAAACGACAGCTTGTCGGCTTTGGCTCGAGTAACTTCTTATCTACGCAAAACCCTCATTAGCAGCACAGTCGGGGTATTAAATTTTTTATTAAGTGTCTTAATGTGTTGATGCAATTAAATAGAAAACTGATGGTTTCTGCTTTTGACCCGTAAAGTCAGGTCTTTTGATAGAGTCATTGTTATAAATTGTTACAAAAATATGTTTTTTTAGCTCTATTGCTATGTGTGCTTATAAAGATCGATAATTGTAAGACCTAAATAACAAGCTTCTGGAAGATATTCTTCAGCTGTGGTAGTTAGTGCTGCGGTAGACACCTATTTCAAACACCTAGTGAAGATAGAATCTTATTGACTTGGATTATGCAATGCAAAAAAGTTCTCCCTCTCTACTACACTACCTCATTCTGATGCTTCGATAGACAGCACTGTCGTTTCTCTATTTAAAAGCGGTCTTTCTTCTATAAACTCTTTTAAGTCTACAATCTTAAAGTTAGTTTATTTAACTCTCCATACTACGTTATCTCCCAGAGCGTCGCTAGTTTGACGTCATGCTCAAAAGAGAGATTTAGAAACAATAATAATTTAATAAATTTTAACGACTCAAAAGAGATCTTAAATTATTTCAATAGCACATACTTTATATAGTGGAGTTACTCCCTATATTATCTATCAATATATCAGAGGTACTTGATATATAGTTTTGATACTTCATCTAGTCCCTTGAATGCCCTTAATCCAGTCCTAGATTTCTAAAACGAGCTCTAGATAAGGCTGGGCAGAAGCATAGGAGGTATTTTAGTGTTTCTTCCATGCATGTGATGTCAGTAGGTTGGCACCTGTTATTAGGCCAACAACTATCGTGCAGTCGAAGAATTTCTAACAGACAAAGTTGTTTATTACAGCGGTAATATGCATGTAATGTTCAATGCTTTCCTCTTCGGAAGAATTTTTAAAAGAAGAATAAGGAGAAAGATAAAGATTAAGTTCTGATAAGGATTCAACATATTAGATCAACATCTGTGAATTTGTGTATAGGAATAGGGGCTAATATCAAAGTGTGTTATGTCTAAAACATAATAGATTTGCAATAGTCTAGGATCCCCTTCAAAGTCGATATTTTTCGTTGAACTAAAGGACTTTCAAAATCATTTTCACTTCTGCAGTCTTTGATCTCTGTACTTCTTTTATATAATAATAAGTAGAAAAAATCATGCGATTCCTCAGAATTTCAGCACGAACAGCCATGTCAAAAATAAGTTATACATATCAATAAGGAATGATTTCAGGATTTAGACCGACTATTGTCATTTTTGGAGTATAATAGACTGGTGAAAGTATAGGATTCTCGTCAAACTTACAAAACCCGTTTCACTTCTGGCGCCTTTGATCTCTATACTTCTTACCTAAATACCAAGTAAAAATATTGCTCCAACTTCCATCACTGCATTTCAAGACAATGAGATGCCTTTCACTTACCCCTTGGCCTTGTACGCTGTTGCGGGTGCACTGGTATGAAGCGATGCGGCACCAAACGCACGCTCGGTGGGCATGGCAACGTGCCAATATTGCGATACACCACTATGTCCGTGTTGCCCTGGACGACGACGTGATCTTGACGATTCTGTATCGTTGTGGTATCGTAGACGGTGTGTTGCTGGCTCTGCGGTTGCTGCTGATGGGTGTGTTGATGTCTAGACGTTGTGCTGCTTGAATTGCTAACAATATGTTGTTGTGGCTGTTGCTGTTGCTGCTGCTGCTGTCGATGTTGATAATGATGTTCGTTTGTAGGACTTGGTGGTTCTTGCTGCTGGATATGTTGTCTTATTGTGGTTGTTGTATTCGTTGTGATTTGCTGATGATGATGATGATCGATGGACGTGCTGATACGTAAGGTGGTGGCCGGTGTGTCGGGTTGCGGTATGAAATGGTACTGTTTTTGTATGTTGTCCACTTGTGTCGGACGCTCACGATGCTCCGCTGGTTGCAAGCGAACTTGTTGTTGCTGCTGTTGTTGTGTTTGTTGTTGCCTTTGTTGCTGTTGGTAATAGTGGCCTTCGCGTGGATTATATGAGAACTGCTGTTGCTGCTGTGTGAGTAGCAATCTTTGCGGTTGTTGTTGTTTTTGTTGCTGCTGCACTGCTTCTTTAGTTCGCTTCAACTCGTGAGGTCGCTGCAGTTGCCGCTGCTGTTGCGCTGACTGTGGTTTTTGTTGCCTTGGCTGTTTTTGTTCTTGCAACTGTCGTTGCCTTTGCCGCTCCTGCAGCTTTTGTGGCTTTCGCACATTCTTTGGTATATTTTCAGCGTTTATCTGTTGCGCCTGCTGTTGTATCGCACCAGCGGACATGTTGCGTGTTGCTTGCGCTGTTGCATTCAATTGCACCCGCGGCAACAACACTTTTCGTCGTTTGCCTTTATAACGCTGCCCCACCGTTGACCCCAATGCTCTTTCTGTTTGATTTTGCATTTTTGTGGGATATTTGCGTCGCAGCTTTCGTTTGGATGGCGGCGATGTTGCGGGCAACATTGTTGCCGCAACATCATTTTGTACACTCTCATTGTCAACACTTAAGCCAATTCGGCTAGGACTTACGCTATTTACACTAACACTACTATTTACAGGTTTCACTGTACTCTCAACGAAGGAGAGCAGCTGATTTGCACTGGATGCGCTGTCATCTGTCAACATGTGGACGCAACGCATATGTTGCGCGACATATAGCAGGAAGAAGAGTAGCAGCAAAGGTCGTCCTACATACACCATTTGTCGGGTGGTGTGGTGGTGACATTTCGTAGATTTTCGTTTATCGCGTTGTTTTTGTTTTTGTTGTTGCGCTGCGGTAGTTGCGCGCGTTCGCGTGTTGCATAAGTGTTGTGTGCTATCAGCAGCGATAAATGTCACGCTGACAGTTCGCTTGACAAGCGCTGTCATTTTTAATTCTTGCACTGTTTACGTTATTCTATATTTAATTGAAAGCATTTGTTGTTTTTGTTGATGGCGAAACATATTTTGAACCGTTGACACTTCACATTTGCTATTTATTATTGATGTGGCACGAAAAAGAAACATGCTTACATAAATAGCTGCACGAATTTACAAAAATAATAAATTTTGACATTTGCTTTTGACAGCTGCAGTTTTGTATTTCTATTTAGATAAATTTGAATTTTTCACTGTGTTACTAAAAGAAATATACTCGGCGACCTGTTGCCACGCGTACAACTCAATTAATTGCCGTTAATTTGCAATTTGTCTTCCCTCAGCATTTAACCCACTTTCAGCCTAAAACTCTAGCGGTCGGCTTACTCTGGCTGCTGCAAAGCAGAAAATCGCCAACCAGCGTTGCCCCACTGCGCATAGACACTAGCATACATACATATGTGTCTCCACTTTTTCCGCCCGTTGCTGCCCGTTGCGACGCCTTGTGGCGTGTAGCAGCTCGCGCTTTAACCACATGCGGTGCATTACGCGCAATCAGTTAATTATATTCGGCGAAATTTTATTGCTCAATTGGCATTCGTACAGCGATGCACGGCGGGTATTCTCAGCGCGTGCTATTTTGTTACCAAAAATATTAAATATGACTACAAACTTTTGTTGTTTATTTTCTAAATGTAGTGCCACATAGTACATAAGCAGGTGCTGGGAAAATATTATATTTATTACATAGAATTGGTATATAGAGTCAAGATTGCTCTCTAGATTTGTTGCGGTAGTTCAATATGTGGTTTGTGCGGAAAAGTCGTTGAAGACAGTTGTTAGCTAAAGTAACTTATTAAAAGAACAAGAAAAAGCGATGACTTCGGTGACCCCGAAGCTATAATACGCTTTATAAATGAAAAAGTTTCTTTACAAGATCTTGATTTTGATCCGTCAGTTTGTATGACAGCTATATGCTATAGTGGTCCGACATTCGCGGTTCCGAAAAATGAGAAGCTTCTTGAAGAGCAAAAGACGCATGCAAAAGTTGAGAACAATATCTCAAAAACTGACGGAGTAGATTGCGTACACAAAGACGGACAGACAGACGGACCTGGCTAAATCGACTCAGATCAGGTGGGATTATCACGCAGTATCTATATTTAGGAGTTTTCGCTCTCTCGTTGTCTCGACAAGTTGAATATTTAGAAATTCATTACATACTATGAGGTATATTAAGAGAGAGAAAGATATAGATAGAAGGAAATGGAAAATACAGAGAAAGTGAAGAGAGAAAAGAATATTTGTTATTCAAAATAAATCAGCTTGTTTCAGCATAATCAGTTTAGTAATCGGTTCTAACAGAACTCGTCTGGCTTTTATCGTTATAGTGAGACCAAAAGACGCTAGAATATTACCTATGTGAGTTCCCAGCCTTCAGACGGGATAAATTCCTCGCCTCCTAATGTTTCAACTTAAAATATATTGAGCATATTTCGAAATAACTAGAGAAAAAATAAATCGATATTACTCTTGCCAACAGAAGCTACTTTGGGATCGGTAGACAATTGAGAAGCAGATCCCTTTTTCGACGAACAAAAATGATGCTCTATAAGTCTCTTATCACTCCCGTCCTATTATACGGCGCAGAAACATGGACAATAACGAACATTTCTGGAGTTTTTGAGAGAACTGTTTTCCGCAAGGTCTTTGGAACGGTTCGCGTGAGATTAGTATCGAAAAAGGTGGGACCACAAAGCATCTAACGATGACTTAAGTGCGGCTGCCTGAGTACATTTATTATACGACTAATTTCAAACGGAAATACTCTCTGGTTTAAACCCAAGGAATATTTTTAGCTTTATTTTGGAGATTATCAGTGACTTTCTTTAGAAGAGTAAGTAAACTTAATCTACAAAATTATTTATTAGGTTAGGTTAAGTTTTAGACTAAGTAAAAGTAAAATAAGTTATTACCGCCGAAGAATACCCTCAACTATGGTCGTCAATTTGAATTCACATTATCTTCAGATAAGAGATCTGTACAAATATGAATTTCCTTGTAATGCAGTGACGAGGTTATATGAGTAAAAATTTTTGTTTCCATTGGAGAGTTGTTCTGAAGTTGTGCTAAAACTCTATTCAAAGCGACTAGCCTGCAAAATAAAGAAGCTTTTCGGTATATAATAAATAATAAAATTAACGACTTCCACAAAATTAGAGAGGAACTCAAACAAATCAAGTCCGCCAAAACCACAAAGATTTACCAAATAGATTAAAAAGGTAAATCTAAGTGGAAGATAATGAGAGCGCGAGCGCGTAAGACGTCATAAATATCCAATAATTATAAACACATGTTTACACACACATACATACATATTTGGCACTTATTACACGCAGCACGAGTAAATAACACAAAAATTATAAAGTGCTACATGCTTGGACGGAGGCTTTCATGAATAAAAACAGAAATTAAATGCCTTTTCGGACAGCTGTGCGGTAAGCGAAATTATTTTCCAGGAAGCCCAGCTGCTTTTGAATGAATTTGGAACATCAGCGAGAATAATTTTATAAAAAATGTATGAGGTACACGGAATAGTGGAAGTGGCGGGTATAACAGCAAAACAATTGAAGAAAAAACTGAAAAAGTCAAAACACAGCAAATACATACATACATACAAGCAAATGAATAACAAAAGTTATAAACGAAAAGCGCTTAGGTCAACAAAAGGTAGCAAGTTTAACAGCAACAGCCAACAACAAATACAGAAATGTAATAAGACAACAACAAAAGCATAAAAACACAAAAATTTAAGTTTTTTTTAAAGAACACAGGCCTCCATAAAAAGTGGCGTCTCGTGCACTAAGTAGAAACTAGAATGCGGGTTTAAGAAAAAATAAAACGCAAAAGCGCGGGAAATAACAAAGCATAACGCAAAAATCGTGACGTAATAAATTTTGTACGAAAAAAGAGCACAAAAAAAGGGGATAAATAAAATGAAAATATGCTAAAAAGAACGGCCTAAGTAGCTAAGATGGAGAATTTGTTAGAAGCTCGATTGAAGTTCAGCGCACGCTTGTGTGACTCAGACAAGGGAATTCTATAGCTAAACTCAATTCTTGGTGAAAGAGAAGACGAAATAAGAATGCAGCAGATTTTAGAAAAGAATGTATGTTGAAATCATTTCGCGAAAAAATTCGGATATGACAGTTTTGTAGTTGAAATCACCCCCTCTTTTCACAAAAACATAATGAGTTTTGTAACTGGTATCATCATCTCTTGTAACGAAAAAGGGGTTTAGTCTCATTTGGAAGCATAAGCTTACCTTCAAGCCTTAATTCATTGAAGCTTTTTTTCAAAATACTCGTATCTTCTGACTCTTATGGATCGAGTCAGCACGTTTTGGTTAATGTTTTTTGTATGAAGAGTGTCAATGCTAAATTCGTAAGAAAATAGCTAAATCTTTTACAAAGAGACGTCGATAGAGTTCCTAAATGAGATAATAACAAGTGTTGGCTCTGGAGCTTATTTTAAAGACGATGGTAGGGATTTGTATTAAAAAACGTGCAAATGTATTTTTTTTTGACAGCCCGAGGCAAATTTGATCAGGATCATCGTAAAATATGGTTTCAGTTCAGTGATTGTTTGTGATTTCGGGTAATTCTTTGTACAATCCTTGATTTATGATGGTATTATTATATTTTTTAGTCAGTATGTGAGACATTTTGTAGTTTGCTTACAAGTCTTATTTAATATATATTTAGTCTCCCCAATAACCAGAAAATTTAAAAATATTTTGTCGATTTTTAAAAGCTTGATTTTTACGTAATACAATGACGGAGGTGTGAGGTTAGTTGCCGAACTTTACACTTAGAGGTAGAAGCGTAGATTTTTGTGATTTCATATTTTTTGTTTTTAAACAATAAGTTAAATCAGTTAAGAAGTTACAAAATACATTAAAATTATAAGAAAAAAAAAATATTTGCATTATATAAGCAAGATAAATGATTGTAAAAGTTTAAATTTTATCGTTTTCAAAATTTAAGTATTGTACCTTCATGGTTGAAAGAGTCTTAGCCCTTTTGCTTATATGTATGTATATTTTTGCCATAATAAAATTTAAGCCTATAAGTAAATTCCGCACATGATAAAGAATCAAATTTAATAGCATTTTTATTTATAGTTTTTTGTTTGTTCAAAAAAAAAAAATTAACAACAATGGTAAAAAAGTTAATAGAAGTCAACACGCAAAGGCCTCTTTAGGCCACTGAAGGCGGAAAAAATTATATAGCGGCTTCGTTAAAAGGCATTCTCGCCATTCTTCTTTTTGACTTTGCGCGCAATTACATAATAGACGTTTAGCGCGTCTACAAATTATGCTAAAACATTTGAGATTAAAGAAAATATGTAGTGTAGATGTATATCTACTAATGTACATATAAATATCAAAAATTATAAATAAATACAACCAAATTTAATGAATTATGTTGGCATTTAAATTCTTTTTTCTATTAGCAGTCTTTAGCTTTAAAATCACCCCTCCAATTGAAACCCATTTCTGCTCTACACTGCTCGCCTGCTTGTGATGTCTGCGAATTAATTGATTTTATAGCTCTTTCAACTTGTCTTCCTTTTTTAATTTTTCACTATTTTGCTTAGGCTTTTCTGTTTTTTCACACTTTCAAAGCCGTCGATTTTACGGTTTATTTTCATGTGCAGCGAGTGTGGCAGTTAACTCGGATTTAATTGCCAACAGCTGTGGCAAATGACAAGCACAAATGTACATACAGATATACATACACATATGTACTATATACATATGTACATATGTATGTATGCACAGTATATAAGTAAATATGTGTGTAAATATTCACATTTCTAGCATGAGACATTTATGCGCGCGCGTGTAAGATTTTTGGTGGAAAAAAGCTCGCCGAAAAAGGCTTTACTAGTTAGTTACGCCTATCAGCGAGTGCGGCGAGGTGTGAACTTTGTTGATAGTTGTTGTTTTTATTTTTTTAATTATTTATTTGGAGCGGCATGTAGAAAGACGTTGCCCTGCCCTTTATTACAAAACTGGCCTAGACAAATTCGGAGAGATAATTTAAATATGCATAAAATAAAAAAAATTTCAAATAATATTTCTTGGTTAGGGTGT